TATTTCAAACGTGAATTACTTTGAAATTAACATAAATCATCGCAGTAAATTAACAGCTTCAGTTCTACCATCATAATCAGAAAAAAATGATAGAACAAATTATTATGTGACTTCTGTGTAATAAGTAAACAATACTTCTAAAATGCATTCAGCACAGTTGTTTTATGAAATATGTAAAACAATAATAAAAGCCCCTACAAGTGAGCGCTTAACATTATCTTTTAGTTCAAACTATTATATTGATATACTAGAGCTTATGATGAAAGAGAGTGTCAATGTTAGTATATAATGTAGGGGCAACTGGGTATTATGCATTATTATTTATGATTGTTATCATTATTATTATTATTATTAATAATTGTTATTATTATTATTATTATTATTATTATTATTATTATAATAATTATTATTATTATTATTATTATTATTATTAGGGGCGTCCGTGGCCGAGTGGTTGAGGTCGTTGACTTCAAACCACTTGCCCCTCACCGCTGTGGGTTCGAATCCCGACAGGGACTTTCGATTCTTTATGTGAGGAAGCTATCCAGCTAGCTTAGCGGAACGTCGGTGGTTCTACTCAGGTGCCCGTAGTTCGTGCCTGAAATAATGCACGGAAGGGCACCTGAGGTCTTCCTCCACCAGTAAAGCTGGAACGTCGCGATATGACCTATACTGTGTCGATGTGACGTAAAACCCCAAAAAAAACAAACAAACAAAATTATTATTATTATTATTATTATTATAATTATCGTTATTATTATTGATACTGGCGTCATTGACAATTTGACATTTGAGATATACATGTTTGATAGTAACATTGTTTATACCAGTAGTTGTTTCCCTTAAACCACGGATGTAATATAAATCAGTGCTTTAACATAATATATAATGTAAAATTTCAGTTATTCATTATATCACAACTGTTTCGTAAGTTTCAGTTTAATCCGTAATTAAAAATGGAATAAGTATGAACATCTACAAACATGCAATGTAGAAGTAAAGGTTTAGTTGGTGAAAAATATTACACCGTATTAGGATCAAGCAGGATGTTTTATTCCAAACAAAACTTTAACATTTTTTATTTGCATAATTAACGTATATATAATACGTTTTTGTATTCAAATTTCTGTTTGAAATAGTTCAACAAAACATTTTCTATGTCAAGATGATGGTGGTGATGGTGGTGATGATAATAATGATGATGATCATGATGATGGTCATGATGATAACGATCAGAAAAAACACCCAAACATAATTAGATCTTTAGATATTAAATTAATTAGGTACCAGACATACCCCCAATTGTTTTTCATCATGGATTGTATTGCGACAATGACATCCTCGAAGGCCTATTTCCATAGATTTTTTAAGCTTATTTGTATTCCCGGAGGCTATGGCGTTGGTTTTTACTCCGATAATAACACTCCAAATCGCCAAGCACCGTGGACTGTGTGAGCTTTACTGTTATTCTAAAGGTTATCTTCATTGGTTGATTTGCAGTAAGAAACCACCATTGGTTGTGTGAGTTGAACTGTATTCCCCGAGGTTATCACCGTGGATTGTATTGCGATAAGGCCCCCCTCAAAAGCCTATCACCTTGAGTTATGTGAGCTATGAGGCTATGACCGTGGGTTGTTTTATGATAAAAGGTCCCTAGAAGGCCTATCAACATGGGATGTGTGAGCTTGACTTATTTCCTGAGGCCTTCGACGTGCTCTATTTTGTTATTTGCATTATTTATTTTCATAATGTAGATTTCTACTAAATTGAAGTAATATACAAATAGTAAAGTGTTCTTTTTGTTAAGTCTAAAATATTAAGCTTCAATATGATTGATGTTACTTTTGCACCAGTTTTACAACTAAAATCTTTAATAAAAATATAACTGTTATTTCTATTAATATCCAAGTTTATTTCTTTCTTCGAAACAGTATTCTCAACAGGAAGAAAAATGATGACAAGCGCTTGTTGGATTGTTCAGATGATCTTACATTATTCTAATTGAAGCACAGACGAACAATAGATAGTTTAATGATATAGTTTCACATTGTAAAAACGATTTGAATTCCAACCTGATCTTATGAGCATATGTCAAGATTTGGTCAGTGAAGACAGACTGGGTATTCAAGATGAATATGAACCACACATTGCATTGTGCCTAAATGATTGAATCATATAAAACATTTGTTATCCAACCATTGCCAACTTGTGTTCAATAAATGCGTATAAAATGCTGTACACGTCACTGTTTGTTTCGTTCTTGTCAGCTTAGGCCGAATATGAAATCGTTAGTATTTAACATAACCTCTTTTTGGGCTGATTTATATTTGTATGATAATTATACAGGTGACATATTTACAAAAACATAAAACAATGTACATTAACGGAAAATAAACAAGGTTTACTGTATGGTTACTGAGCCTATCTTTCAAAAATTATTATTCATTAACCATTTGAGATTTGGCAAAACATATTCTCAACTACATCAAATTGTTTGCATAAGATTGCATCCAGAACTTAAGATGAGTCTGTTTGGGCTAAAGATGTTTTGTAAAATTCTTTTTCTTCGTCTGAATCCCAAATGTATGTGGTTCTAACGATCTGTGGACATCTTTTACATGTTCTTCTAAGGTTTGCCTTGAAACTCTCGCGTTGTATATTTAAGTCATGCTTGAAACTGTCGGTATGAAATGGTTAATATTTTGCTGCATCTTGAAAATTGTAATCTTAGATTTCGTTTTTCTGGGTGTCAAAATTCTAAGTTGATGTTGGAAATTATCTTGTCGATAAATGCAGTAAAGACTATGGCTTTTTTCCATTTTGTTCACAATAAACAAATGAATGCCTCGTCGAATTTCAGAATAATTTTAGCGGTATCAAATTGATGATATTCAATTCCTAAGATAAACGTCATAAATAAATTATCTATTCAATAAGTAATGAGTCGGAATGATACGCAAACGCTTAAAAGAAGAATACACAAGAAAGCTGAGAGGTGCAAGATGGATAAAAACTGTAAAATTATATGAATATGATTTATATGAAACGTCAGCATTAAGGGACAATTGAGATTTATGACAAAATAAAACAGTTGTCTATTTTTAAGAAATGTGCGATTTTGAAAACAGCATTAAATACGATAGCATATCACAACATGAAAAGTCATGAGCGCCAGCCATCGCATACATGTACATTAATTTAATATATTTGAGAATTATGGCAGGTTTGACATGATATCAGGCTAAATCGAAATTTAAATATATATATATATATATTTATATACTGCATAGATTTTCGGAGATGCAAGTTTTACTTATGTATAATTTAGGAAAACACTGAATATTCTTATCTAAATAGAAGTAATCTACTTTATTATATGATCTAAAATAGCTGCAATCTCATTGTTTAAAACAGTTGTTCAACAGAACAAATCATAAAATGATATTCACTGGGTGTAATTCACATTCATCGGCTAAAATAGATTTTCCAGATCTAAAAATAGAACAGGACTCATATTCATGCAGTTAACACTAAGTGAATATGATTTACGCTTGCGCAGTTATGACTGGGTGTATTATCATATTCACTGGCTTAATCTTCTATCTTCTATAAATAAAATATCACCAGATTCATACTCAATGACCATTCAGCATAGACTATTTAAAAATGTTGTATTTTGTTTTATGGTATATTTCTCGATTAAAAAAATATTTACAATAAAAGGTGAAAGTTACAACACAATGACAAATACATTGATAACTTGTTTTTAATATTAATCTTTTTGTGGTTCTTTTAAATTTTAGGCTGATTGGAATTAGTATGTTAAAAGACCATATTTCTGGTCATTTTTTTTGCGTAGAAATCATCGCAGTGTGTTTGTGTTTTGTAATAATCAATGAATAAATGCCTGTATTGACTAAACCTATGTAAGTGTTTGTTGTTTTTTTTCAAAACAAGGTTATGACTTTATTGATTATAAATAATTTATGTTTGTCTGAAGGAAATGAAAGAACATAATTTAGCTTTACAATTTCTTTGACGATAACAAAATTCTTATACAAAGTGTGAGACATGGCATGGATTCTGCTCCTTTGAACATCTATTTCCTTGCAAGTCTGGTTTAAGTTTAAGGTGAGCTGATATTAATTTAATCTGTAATTCTATAAAATTTGAACATTCCTTACATTTAGAAAACATATCGAATTTTGTTTCATCACATGCAGAAGAATTTAAGCAATTGTATACATAACATAAGACAAACACTAATTGAAACCTCATCCTTATTATTACATTTTCGAACAGTGCTATTTTCCATGATATCGCAATATCTTTCTGCGTAGAATTTCAGAACAATTTTAGGAATCACAAATTGATGATATTCAATTCCTAAGATATATATTAAATTAATGATTCATTCAAAAGTTTTAAGTCGGAACAATGCGCAAACACTTAGTTAGAAGATGGATACACAAGATATCTGAAAGGTGCAAAATGGAAAAAAAACTTTTAAATAAGGAATTATAATTCCAAGATAAAACATAATAAATTATAATAATCAACAGTAGTTTAAGAGAACAAATAATACATTCCTATTTACTGTGTGTAGTACCATATTCACTTGGTGAAGTATCATATTAACTGGCTGAATTTTTCATATCTAAAATAAAATTATATATAGATTCATATTCAATGACCATACAGCATAGACAATTTAAAAATGTTGCATTTTGTCTTTTTATGGCATATGTCTCGATTAGAATATATTAACTCCACAATCATTGATGACAGTTACACCGCAATGATAAGTACTTTAATAACGTGTTTTTTATATTAGGCTTAATGTCTTGTGTTTCTTTTTTAACTTTAGGCTGTTCATATAATAAAACAATTATTGACTAATATTTCATTGCATATATTGTGATAATCACCGGCAAAATGTAAAATTGACATCGGCTATCGCAATATTTAAGACAACGCTAATTTTTTACTCGCTAATTTATAATCTTTATATATGTGGCTTCATTAAAAATAAAATAGAACGAAACAAAACATGAAACAATATTATTAAGTTTTTATTTATACATTATCGTGAAATCATGTTGTTAATTAAAATCATTCAGGCAATGTGTAGTTATAACAGTAATAAGATTTTCTGTTTCAAACTTCAATGTGTCTTTATTACGAGCAAACAACAGTGTAAAAATGATGTTTATTTAAATGAGTTTGTGAAACAACAACATTATGTGTTAAAAATGTTCAGTATAAAAAAAGTTAAAGTAAATGTTAATAAGTAAACATTAAGAATTGATCTTTGTTACAGATTTCAGTTTTCGAGAATTTACAAGAGCGTATGAAAACTACGTGTATGGCTGAATACTTGTCGACTTTGCATTGTATGAATACGAGCATACAGCACATGTTAGCTCCCATCCGTTCTTATATGGATTACAAGGTAGAGAGCCACAAGTGCCTTCAACGAAATGAAATAATTTGCCATTCAGGTTCTGATGAGTCCCCTTAATTGTTTCGGGATTTCCATCAACACACACAAATTCAGAGGAAGAAGCGTGTTTGAAATGTTCAGACATAAGATAGCCTTTATATTCTAACATGTAGTTGTCATGACAACGATCTTTCCCTGGCACCATAAGAACGTTGTTACGTGGTATTTGGCAAACTGCACAAGGAATTTCATGGTCATGAAGATATTTCCATTTCGGATAACTGTTTGTTTGATATTCTGCTCCACATATCCTACCTGATTCTTGAAAACCGTCGAGATACTTATCGTAGTCTGGATCTTTTGGCAGACATAATGGGTTTGCGGCAGTTCCGCTATGCAAATGATCCGATCCGGCAACGTAGCCGTCGTAAACTAGAACGGCTTTGCCAGGACACGTGGTGCGGCCCCAACGAATGTATGTGGTACCATCAGCAGATTTCTGGTTTGTTACAATCGTGTCGTTCAGGTTTGCTATTGTTTTTTCAGCATCTAAAAAATTTATAACAAAGAAGTAAATTTTAAAATCAAATGTTATCGAATACAAATTATTTGATAAGACACTTATAATACAATACATTGTTGTTGTTGTTGTTTTGTCTTTGTTATTCCTATAGTATTCTTTATTTTGATTTCATACAATCATCATTTTTCTATCTAATCTCAACATTTTAAATTCATGTTTATGTCTTTTACATGAAACTCGTCACATTAAACGCTATATCTCTATATATGCAGTTACATAAAGAATGGAATATTTGCTACATAGCTTAGATACTTGGTATTGTAACTTCAAATTTAGATAACATATTGATCTAAATTCCAAAACACGAAATAGAATTAAATTGAACATACTGAAAAACAGTACGTTATAAACATTTATGCATTAAACTACAGACACAAATGAATGATTGTATTTATTAGAAAACAATTCAAGTTTACGTAACTTTTCAGAAGTAAATGAAGACTCAAACGTACCTTCAAGTTTTGCGGTTAACAGAGATATCTTGTTGTCCTGTTGAGCTGTCCTTTCTTCAAGATGTATTAACTTTGATAACAGTTTGTATTCGCAATCAACATTTCTACCACTTGGTGCATATTCCGAAGACGCGATGTAAATTGAACACAGTACTAGAATAACAAACAGCGGCATGTTTTCGTTTTGGATGTTGACCAAATAACCATGTCAATGTAAATGGACTGTTCTTTTAACAGTCGCTTATTTTAAGGATAAAACTTTTAAAGGTAGTACAACGAAAAAAACACATTTTTTCAAATATATATTTTTTCAGTACAAAATATGATATATTTCGAAATAAAATTTAAACTATTGCTTTTTATAGGCGTTTAAATAGTCAAACTGCCAATGTGCAGGTTTGATAAATTGTTAAAGAGTATGTTTTTACAAAAAAACCTTTTTGCCAAAAAAAGCACCTTTTTAATTTAAAAATAATAAAAATGAAAAAAAGTGAACAAAAATCCATCGATAAAGTAAAAGATGGTAATAATGCAAAGATTAAAGTGTAATATGATTGGCTATGTTCATGTCATAAAAATAAAACGTAAAACATATGTATTGAAGAAAATTAGATACTAGGGAAAGTATAACAAATACGAGTGCAATCTTGTTTGCGGTTACGACATAGTGTTTGACATAGTTCTGTTTGTAAAAGAAAAAATCCTGAAACGATTTTAAACAACAACAGAAGTCACACTGTTTATTTGTTACAGAACATATGTCAGTTATTTCATGTAAGTGTTTCTGTAGACAATTGGGTTTTTTTATTAAAAGAACGATTTAGTCAATTTAAGCCATTTTTCGGGTTTTTATAAACAATGTTATAATAAGTAAGTATGTAAGGTGTATTAAGTGTTTGAAACACAAACACCTACTCCAGACTCTTAAATATACATAAGTGACTTATTTAGATACTCTTAAACCGACGACAAGTTGTTTAAATACATTCGTACATTAAAACAGTGTACCAAATACTTCACATGGAAAAGATATTATTAAACGGATTAATTAATTCAATTTAGATACACAGTATTCCATTGTTAATATGATTTTACAATGATAAGGCCGTTTCAGAATTCAAAACGAAGTTCTACATTTATATTTCTTATAGCTGGTAGATAGTATTATTGTTACAACATTAGATAACCCTTCTTTAATTTTACGGTGAAGACTTCCTTTTCCAAATATTGTCCTTTTTGTTTCAGGTTAAACAACAAGCAACAATGATATCAAAATAGCAACGTGTTTGTTTGTAGCTAACCAGTAGAAAGCCACTTACACGGTAAAGGGGAAGTTTTGAAGGACAGATCATTTGAACTCATTGTAAACTAGGACTTCATATATAATGCAAATATTTTATCTTTGACCATATCCATAGTCTTTTGTTGGTAAAAAAGACAAGACAGAGTCATTTATGACATCAGTTTAGGTAAACACGCGTTAAAATGATATAGACCTTCCTAAAATCTGTAGTTTAAAACATAACACAAATATCTTAAATGAATACGCTTTTAAAATTACAGATTTTTTATTGATAACATACTGAAAAAGGGCTACTGCGTGTAAACGTTACTCTATGTTTTTTCTTGTAAACAGTACATTACTTTAACAACTTAAAATAACTTTTTACATGACAGTATGGAAATTCTATCATAACAATTTTGACATTTTATTATTTTCTTAATCTGGAACGCTTTCAAAACTGTACGTATTTTGTCATGAAATCATAATGTTATTTTATGTGTTAAATCGTAGGAAAAGACCTATATAAGCATTGTACGATTTCGGATCTAATCCTTTTTCAGCATTGTTTATTATGTAACTAATGATTGTATGTAATAAATGTTTGCATGAAAATGTTTGAAATAAAATATGTTTAAACTAAATCGTTGTCTCTTCAGCAGTAATAATAACACAAAAAAGAAATACAAATTAACATAAAAAACCAACAAGCAACAAAAGAACAACTAAAATCCCTACAAAAAGATCAAATTCTATCATTTGCATAACACTTTCCTCACGATTGTGTAAAGGAAATCAGAATAGCCAAGCTTTAATATACATATATTCATATTTCATAAATTCTTAACTAAAACAAGCTTTATCTAGACCATTGCTTTCCTATGTGATTTTCACAACTGATTTTGTTGAATCATAATTTATTATTTGGACAGTTGCTGTTAGTTAGGATAAAATGATTATTATAATAAAGCTAAAGGATTTCCTAATTTGTATTTGTTTATAAAATTTAAGAAGGAATAAACTGCACGTTACGAAACCAGATTATTCAGTTAGATTAATGTTCAGAAGAAAATACATAAAAAAAGCCCCCCAAAAAAAAATTTTACTTGTTTTGTTTATTCTAAATAATTATGATAAAAGCTAAATTAAAGCTTCTAAATAATCTTATAATAATAGTGTGGTAAGTATAGTTTTATTACATGCATGTCAGTGGATAGTGAAATTATTTTTTGATTAATTCACAGTTATATTTCTAGTTTGTCAGTGGACAATGAAAGAATTTTTGGATGAATTCACAGTGAAATTGTAAAATGAAATTTTCACATTCGCCGGCTATATTTGCATGTGGATGAAATGAAATTTCAATTAAGGTATGGCGGTCCTAACAGGCACTATTAGGAACTGGAAAAGATAGGTCAGTTATATACCTGAAAGGACACCTGTCTGCAATTTTTTAACATACTTTACCGTACGAAAAATTGAGTTCTGACCACTTTTCTGAACTAAAGCTACCCTTTTTAGAAATAAGGAACCTTTAGAAAATGTTCAATATTATCCTTATGAAAAATGTTTTCCCATTAAATTTTGGTACGAAGCGAAAAGTAACACTCAGCTAACAATACGCATACTGGGATCCTTCATATTACCTACGGTGTTCCGTTTGGACACGTTTGGACAATCGTGACATTTTATTTATTCTGTACATATTACCAGACAAAATATGATGTTTTTTTCGTTTTAACTTTTTTTAAAAACCATACAAAGAATGGAATGTTACCGAATTGATGGTTTTAGGTTTTTAATACACGTCAACGGTACTTAATCAAGCACGAAAATTTACACTCTGACCATACAATGTGTCTAATGTGGAGCATTATAAGAGGGAAAAAAACACGTAAACTCAATTTATCGGACATTGTGTTTCACAATATTTTGAAGTCGTGAATTGAAATTAATCTGTAAATTATCAGCAAGGGAACTACGACTGTTAAATGGCAAGGTTAAGATATATCAAAATCCAAAGATGTCACAAAAAATAGACACGGTAGCCATGCTTGTTACAAATGGGGTGTATTGGAAATTCACATTATTAACTCAATTGTCGTATTGATTCATCATAAATTAGTTAACATAAATTTCAATAATTATTTGTTTTTCTGTTATTTGTCACACAGTTTCATTTTGGTCATGATGAAGCCAGTAAAATCCAGAAAATACATTTTATTTACATTTCATGTAGAGTTTCCTGTCTTGGTTTGAAATTCAGGCGTGACCCGTTTCCTCGTAAAAACCAACAACGAAATACTGTCTGGATTAAATCTAAATATACTTTTAACCATTTAAAATATGAATTGTTTGTCTGCTGAGACAATGCAGAGAAGATATATAAGTAAAACCTGTCTTGAATTACATACTTAGGGCCTCAATTTTCCGGCATACGCAGAACACAGAATTCCCCCGCATGACCAAGTATGAAACACATAGTAATCAAAAGGGTATTTAATCAAAGTAATTAAAGAAATAACTGAATCAACAATATTTACATGAGAGTAATCTTGTTGTTATTAACTTTGAAATTGAAAGAGTGTGTGCAATTTAGACCGGATGATTTTTTAATTGAAACAGAAATAAAGCCTTATTTTATGGAGGCTATTCGTTGCCAAAAAATTCAGTCTTTGAAACTTGACAATGCATACTTCGGTTCTACTAATCAGATTAGTAAAAATCTAATTGTCGATCCGAGAGTTACATACTGAACTGGTATTAAGCGTTTTGATTATCTCGATTTGATAAAATGGAAGCTGTAAACATGCAACTTAGCTAAATTGCAAACTGTACTTAGAAATGTATAACATCAAATTTGCGACATTTAGAAATGTTAACAATAGAACGTACACAACACGTTTAATGCTGTGCATCATGACGTGTCAAGAGTGTAAGTGCACTAGTTTACACTCTCAGGTTGACAACACCACACTTTCATTTTACATTCTAACGCGATACACATTTGTAAACGATTTTGAAACTTCCATTTATTTTCACGGAAATAGACGAAAATTAAAAGGCGGAGCCAATTTTTACGAAAGCAGAATATAAAGAGCGGTAACTCTTGCTGGTACAAAAATATTACAAATTATATACAACTGTTATAAATTTCACATACATCAACTGCAGTACAGTTGACTTTAATATCCTCTGATTTTGTTAAAACGTATTCAGGATATTAAAGTAA